AAGCCACATTTCTGTAGGAGGACACTGGGCTTCAAAAATGATTGATCTAAAAAGAAAGAAAGAAAAAGGAGAAAGGAAAGAAGGAGAGAGGGAAGGCAGAGGAGGAGAAAGGGAGAAAAAGGAGAGAGAGATTGTATGTCCATTAGCACAGCTGAAGGTTGTTTCACGGTTCTGTGAGAAAGACTGAAATAGCTGTATAGACATATGTAACAAACCAGATGACAGAATAAAAACTGATTTAAAGTTGGGAGGGAAGAAATATAATCCACAGTACAATACAAATATAGAACGCTAGTATATCAGAAAAGCATGATAGAACTACAGAGTGGGAGAACAGGGGCAGGAAAGATAAATATATGCATTTAAAAGAGTAGAGGAGGCAGGATAAAGTAGATGATCCTGACCTTCCACAGAAGGGGCTAATAAATAATGTCTGAAAGTGAAAAAAATCCACAGGATTAGCACTAGACTGTGGTACTAGAAACTGCAAGGTAAATACCGGAATAAAAAGAAATTGAAAATAAATGTTTGAAGAGATGAGAACAGGGGCTGCTTCTACTTACTTGTTTGTTTGTTTGTTTACTGTTGTAGTACTATTTGGCTTTTAAAATTCGGCACAAGTATTAATTTGAGATTAAAAATTTGAAAGCCAAATAAAAGATATGGAATTTGGAGTTTCATATACATGCAGGACCCTAATCAATAGTAAATTGGAACCTATAAAAGTCAAGATGTATTTTCTTTAATAAAATTAAACAGCAACTGTTAATATATTCCCAGTGGTCTTTGTCTATTATTAATGTGCTTCCTAAGTTTCATAATATGCAAAAATAAATTTTGACCAAAATCAGGCAAAACTTTTATAAATTTTGAATTGATTGGACAGCAAATTATTTGGGTTACTAAGTTCTGTTGGATCCTGCCTTTTGTCTAGGACCTACAGGAGTCTGTCCATCAGCATACCTATTTCCTGCTCTCCATGCCTTCTGTCTTCCTCAGAGCCTGAAAGTTCGATTCTACAATGAACATCTCAAAGGGACCTGACAGAACTTTGTCACTTTTTATGACTTAAAATGGTAGGTCTCATGACATCAGCTCCCCCATAGTCACATGCCTCCCAAGATTAAAAGAAGGGAAAATAGATTCCAACTTTTCAAAGCAGGAATTGTAATGTTACACTTTTGAAAAAGCATAGAATTGTGGCACACAAGAACTCAGAAGGCTGAGGCAGGAGGATCAACATGAGCTCTAACCCAGCCTGGGCTATATAGTGAGTTCAAGGCCAGCCTGAACTACATAGGGAGACCTTGTCTCAAAAGTAAACAAACCCCAGGCCCCATCAGCTGGAAACTGGATAAAGAAAATGTGGGTTTTTTTAATAAAATGGAGTACTACTCAGCCATAAAGAACAAGAAACTAGAGACATTTATAGCTAAATGGATGCATATTCAGGCCATACTCATGTGAAATAAATAGGACACACGTGTAAATACTGAATAGTTTCTCTAGTGTGAGAAACTGAAAGTGTAAATAAGGATTAAAAGGATTAAAAATGAATAATTGATACTTTGAAATAGGATAAGGTCCAAAGGGGTAGGGGGTGGGAGGGGATGGGGAAAGGAAAGGAGGGAAAGGAAAAATTATGAGAAAAGAAAAAAATGGAAACAAAGTCTTTGTAAATAGGGAAGGGTGGAGGCGGTGAAGGGAGCACAGGTAATGGAGAAAAAAATAAAAACCAAGATACATCATGTACAGGTACAAGCACCCAATGATAAATGTAAATGTAGTGTATACCAAAAATGTACCAATAAAAGAATTTAAGGAAAAAAAACAAATAAACAAAAAACGAAGCCAGGGATTTAGCTCAGTGGCAATGTGCCTGCCTCGCAAGCACCAGGACCTGAGTTCGATCCCTGGTACCAAAAAAAAAAGTTACACAGAACAGAAGAGAGTGTTATAGCTCTTTCATAATATATGATCTGCCATAAGTTTCTTTGTTCCAATATAGAAAAATCTATATTAGCATTAACTATCTTCAACAGAAGACATTCTGAGACCAGCAGATTTCAAGCTGGGATATGTATATTTTGGGAGCACAAAAATTTTATTTATGTATTTTTTGGGGTACCCGGAATCAAACTCAGAACCTTGCACTTTCCAGGCAGGTGGTGGCACCACTGAGCTAAATCCCTGGCCCGGGAGCACAAAAATTTTCAAAAAATAACTTCTAGATCCTAAGCTTAAAAAGCACTCTTCCCTAATATTTAACAATATGAGAATATTCATGTGGGTTGTTCCTGTCTTTATCACACTTTAAAAATGGAGTATGCCTCTCATTCACTTTTTCATATTACTAGGGTACACTGACCCTGAGTGGTCGGTCTCTAAAGTTACAAACAATAGGACAACTCAAAATATTGGAGTTGGTGCTGAGGAAGTAAATAACTCTAATAACTGAATAATGAAATCTGAAACTAGCTTCAATTCTTTGCCTTTAATAAAACTGAAAGAAGAACTGACTGAGATGACAGCTGGTAGATCATTAAAAATAATTTTTGATGATAGATAACTATGTGATTTTTGGCATATAACTTGGAAGGAGTTCAAATATTTGAGTGGCATTGCTAAAACAAAACTCCATTCCTATCTACTTATTTATGGGAATACTTTTTCTAAGATCTTACACCCAAAAAAGTAAAAATAGAATAAAGCTGTGCTTTGTCTCATTCTAGCAAAAAGTAATGTTCATCTACAGAGATATAAATTTATTGAATAAAAAAGCTCAGCCAGTAAAACAATGGGTATGTTTCTAATACATTTTGTTTATATAAGTGTAAAATTATTTGTGATTTAATCATATATTCATCAATGTAAGAAAAATTCAATTCAGCAGAAATTTTAACAGCCATAGTCTCATAGCCATAAATTTTTACTTTTCAGTGTACATACATATTTTTATGGTAGGAAGAGGGTGATTACTAAAAGACTTCCAGACAGGAAATGTATGTCAAAGTAGGATAAAATTCTATTATAGAAGTGGTATGAAATAAATTATTAGTAATTTCTGTTATAGACGAATTGATCAAAATACTTTAATCTAGATTTTGGTAGAAACCAAAATGGTTGCCATTCAAGGCTTTTTAAGTTTATGTCAACATTTACAATTTCCTGTAAACTATTTATTTGACAATGATGTAGTTAAACTTATGAGAGATTTAAAAATATATGAGAAGGAATGTAAGTTTTCAAAATTTACTTAAGACCATTGATTTATAATCTTAAAATTTTGCCTTCTAAAACACATGAAACTTGTATCTAATCTAAGAGTTATCTAACAGTTGTTTTAGGGACTAGGAGTATAGCTCAATGCTAGAGTACTTGCCTATCATGCTGGAGGCACTGGGTTCAATCTAAAGTGCCTCCTCCCAAAAAAGAATGAAAAAGAAGTTACTTTTGTTACTAAATGAAAGGAGATTCTGTTTTTCAACAGTGCTAGGGATCAACCCTGAGCCTAGGCAAGCACTCTACCACTTAAGCTACATCCCCAACTCAATGAGCTTTTGAACATTTTCATACCCTGCACAACTACATACACAGTCATCCTTATGTACACTATGCATGTAACTGTGAGCCAGTTTAGTATCACAATTATAAAAGAAAAATCATATTCCTTTAAACCTGGTAGAAAACTTGTATAATTGAATTTTACTATTTTACCTAAGACTGATTAATTAGAGCTGAAATTTCTGGTTTTACTTAGTATGTTCCTTACATATAGGAATAATTAAAATCTCTAAATTGTTACACTTTTTTAGGAGTATGGGAGATAGAGAAATGCAGAAATAAATGCTTGTCTGGTTTTTTGAAGATTATTGGTAATACCCAATATAAGACCTAAAAATCCAGATAAGTGTCCCTTGTTCTCTTCAGTATCCTTCAATAGAAAGCTAGTACTTCCCACTTCAAATAATCTGAATTATTTATCCCAAAACTCATTACAGTGCCTGGCACAGTACAAATACTTAATATCTGTTGGATTAATGAGTAAATGGATGAACATGGAGTCATTAATTTAGTGACTCAGTCCTTTCCACTTTCAGAAATGTTCTGTTAAAGTGCAAGCTTACCTTTGAGTTATACCATCTGAACAGTAGCTCTCAAAAGTCAACCCATACTCTGACTACAGTGAAGTCACCCAGTGTGTATTATGCCTTTAACTTCCTGTACCTCTACCTCACACTGATAAATCGCACACATTTTTAACAGGCTCCCCAGCTGATTGACATATACAGAATTGACAAGAAGCCAAAGAATCAGTTTAGGGAACAAGAAAAACCGAGGCAGACTCATTCAGAGAATAAGAAAGTAGGAAATACAGGCAAAGTCCCAGGGGAAAAACAGTCCAGTCAGGGAACCACTGTTGGTAATACCACAATGACTGTGGTTGAGATTCAAATTTGAGGAACAGAGTGACTGCAGGTCTACATTGGGTCAGGTTAGTCATTTATTTATGGAGGGATCAAGGCCATGCTTATCAATTCTGCTAGACTACATCTGATAGAGCAGAGGTTTTTCCATAAGCATCAAATTGCTGCTGGAAATCAGGAATGTTTCCAAGGAAGCCAAAAGTAGAAATTACAAAACTAAGCCTAGACACAGTGGAATGAAGCATCTCCTAAAGTAGCATGTACTCTGTAACAAAGAGCTACACACTAGACTTTCACTCAACCTCAGCACTACTGAAAGGACCTCTGCACCAAGAGCAAATGGATAACCTTGCAATCTCTCTCCCATTCTGAGTCTGTGACTCTGTATTACTAAATGAGTTCTAGAGTCATCCAATTTCATTGGTAAAAGTCAGTCACACATTAAGTAGAATTCTTTAGAAAAATGAAATAATTGAATACATCTGCAACTTTTTGCTGTTATACAATTTAAATTGCATCTAATGACAGTATACAAGGGAATGTCTCTTATGGGGAAGAATAATCAATTCATACCTGCTCATCTCACAGTCCTCATAGCCAGCCTGACTCCTTCCACCATTCCAACAACAACAAAAAAAAACTCAGTCTTCATATCCCCCAGCACTGTCAAAGGAGAAAACTGTCAAGTTACCAGATGTTCACCGACAAATGGCATTTTACCTTTACATATCTTCTTTTTTTTTTTTTTTGGCTAATTTTTTCCTTGCCTAACTTTTAACTCTGCAAATCTGTCTTTCTGTAAATCTGATCTGTCTTTCCTCTAACAGATCAGAAGTTCATACTTGCCAACACTTTGGCTTCCAACATCTCCACAGTGTAGGGTTAGAACTGCTTCTTCTTCATCATCCCAGACCTAATTAATAATCTCCTTTCACCAACTTGGATCATGTTGGCTGGGTCATTCTCCAACCACCATTGAAGCAGGGAAGTTTAATTATGTTCATAAATCTGTGTTATGATTGAATATGGAGATACTCATTGTTTAGCCAAGAAGTAAACATTAACAAAATGTCTAAATAATTAAATAACTTCATACTCATGTCATTTTTCAGCAACTTACAAGTATGTGTGTTCACCTTTTTTACTCTTGTCATTATTCTTTCAATGATAGAATGGACATTATATGCTTTTCCATGAAGAATAGCTCATTACCTGTCACAGCTCTCTGAATTTCATCATGTTGCCTAAAAATATATTTTCATTGGCAGAATCTAGGAGAACAGAACTCCAGACAGTCCTGTTCTACTACATTGATGTTAGTCAGTAGACTCCAATGGGTGACTGAGTTGCACGCTGCTAATAAATCAGCAAACACTATACTTATTTTCACCTGAATTTGTCTTTCATCTTTTTACTGGGTAATATTTAATATTAATCTTAAGCCAAGAGCTGTCTTTTCTTTCTTTAGTTTGTTTTGATTATTGCATTGAATACATTTACTAATGATCCATCCACATGCTAATGATCTATGGAACCAATTCAGGAAAATAATTTTTCTCAAGAAAAATGTTACATATGTATTGGCTCAATTCTTAGACTATGATGAGAGCCAACTTTTGGCAACATAATCAAGCTGTAGTTGAAGCTTTTGTCAATGCCATAAAGAAGCCAGATGAAAGTCCTTTAGTACAAAGCTTACTGGGCACTTATCTAAACCCTGTTTGTACAGGGTATAATACACATATTAATGCAAGAATTATTAAAACAATTAAAAAGACAAAAAAAAAGGAAATCTTACCCCATAAAATTGATCCCTGAAAATTGGCTGATTGCAAGTAGGAAATAAACCTGTTAATTTTGAGAATAACTTGTTGTCTATGTATTCAATATACAGATCATCTTCACCTTGCAAGCATATAGTTTCTGATTAACAGTTGAGGGATAACACGAAAATCTACAGCCAGATACAAAAGGTAATCAGGGAAGAGGTACTGTCAAATGGCACTGAACCTAGAAAATCTGGTTTGATGTTCCGCAAATCAGTGGCTGTGACACTATGCATGTCCTTGAGCCTACGTTTCTTGCTCTGTAAAATGAGAATAATAACACTTCACTCATAAAGTAGAGGGAAAGTAATAGGAGATAAGAGATGTAAAAATGCTTTGTAAATTTCAAAGTGGCCTAGAAATATAAGATACTATTAATTCTGTTTCTTGTTAGTGCTACACCATGAGCTATGAAGGCATAATAATAATCCTGGCAAGTACGAATTTAAGACGAAACATTTGTCAAAGCCATCCATTGGAAGAAGCAATATAAACAAGCTTAATGAGTAGTCATACGCTTCTGGATACAATGGTAGATGAAATATTACCAAAGATATTAAACAAAAGCCTCTATTTAAAAGGCTGTGCTAAAACCCACATAAAGCCCATGAGATCCATTTACGGGAGCTCATTTAGACAGGTGGGTCCAGCAATATCTGAACTGTTATCCAAGGAACTGCCTCAAAAATTAATCAGCTGAAGTGACCAACCACTTGGCTTGCAACATCAATACAGATGAAGGTGAAGAACTGCTGATCCTGGAGCATCTACATGTTTGCCAGATCTCTGTGAATTCCCAGCTAAACAAAGAATTTACTGAAAAAATGGAAAAAGCCATTGCTTGTGTCAGTTTTAGAAAAAATTGTCTAGAGATAAAAAAAGAATTAGTGATAGAGGTGAGCACACAGAATAAAACCACTTTAAAAGCTACGTGGACTCATGTTCCCCAGAAGTCCCAAACCTGTCATTCTCCTAGCTACTATCACTCCTTACAACAAAGCTGTCAGGTTTGAATAATAGAAAGGCTTCTGTTGCTTTCTCTGGATACTGAGTTCACTGAGAGGAGGCAGTTTAAGTATTTTACCATTGTTCTGGTTCTTTCTTCTCTGACAGATTCAACTTCCTCCAAGAATGATTGTCCATAGCAATGATGAAAAATGAGAGTTGGGAAAAGAAGCATTGTCACAAACTTACACTAAGAGGCTGCTAAAATAGTTTAGTAAGGTAAGAGATAATTTTAGAGTGAAAGCAATTTCCCTGAATTGACTTTCAAGCCTTCTTAATACAGTTAAAACTTTACCATCCCTGATAGTTACTAAGCTCAAACATGTTTGATTGCCTGTACTGCATTTATCCCTACATTCGCTAATTGCCAAGTCCTATTATTATATAAAGGCATTTCCACCTCTGTAGTCCCTCCAGTAATACAGAAGTTTGTTTCTGCATTATTTTTATGAAATCATTACAATAACATCCCATGTGACCTCCCTCCTCAAATCTTTCTTCCATTCTAATTCATGCAATAACTCCCGTGTTCCTAGAATTTTCGAACTCAAACTCCACTAGCACATCATTGCATGCAAATATAAGTCCAGATTTCCTATTGTTAACACCAAAAGCCTGAATGTATCATTTGTCAGAGAGATTTTAGAGCAACCAGAACTCTCATACTGCTGTGGGAAGTATATGGATAGGATTATTTTGGAAAGTTTATTCACTGCATCTACTATAGCTGAACATGGGTAATACTGTGATGTCCAAATTCCACCAAAAAGCCACTTGGATAAGTAATTTGTGGTATTTTCATATATTGGAATATCATAAAATAATAAAAATAAATGAAGTACAAGTACTTTTGATAGCCTGTATAAATCTCATCAAAAGTAGCGAAAGAACTAGCCACAAAATTATATACTAATAAGTATACAGAATTAGAAAACAGGTGGTGCTAATCGACTGTGTTAAGAGTCAGTGTAATAAAAAAAAGTTAGTGTAATTTCCTTCTATGGGAAAGAAAAGTGCAACATTTGAGAAAGGTATGAGTGGCTTTTCCCGTATATTGGGTGTGTTCTATTCTGTGATCTGGATAGTGGCTTCATAAGTATGTTAACTTTGTACTCATCTATTGAGTTGTACACTCATTTTGTGTAACTTTCTGTCCATTTTTTAAAAATACAAGTTCTAACCGTCATCTTTAAGTTTGACCATAATCACCTCCCTACCTGTTTCTCCAATCTCACTCTCAAGGTGCCCCCTAAATACGGTATTACACCATACACTCAATATCCCAGTCGTGGTTACATTACTTTTTAAGCATGTTCTTTTGCTTGTGGTGTTTCTCATTAGAAATCATCTCTTACATTTTCTTCTTATCAAAATTCTGTCCATCCTTTCAAAGTTCACAATATAATGTCCCTCTTTTTCATGAAGCCTTCACTGACTACAACAGATGCTCTTTATTCTCCATGTTGCAATGATAATTTCAACCTCTCTTATCAACTTGATTTAACTCATCTCTGTATTACAGATATTTGTTAATTTGTCTTATCCTCCAAGAGATGTATAAGTCAATGGAGACCCTGGAACTACATTTTACATATTTTGGAATTCCCTGCATTTACTTCACATACTTCAGTATATGGTGCTAAGTCAATAACTGGTAGTTTGTGAGTGCACTGTCAACTGAATAAGCCACAGAGTCGCTACCATATAAAATATCTATAGTTATACACCTCCAAGGAGACCCTTGAGTTAAGTTTTATCTCAGCCAAGGGTACAGTCCTCAGTGTTCATAGGTTCTGACCAATAAAGCAGTAGTAAGCAGTGGAAAGTTACCGATGTTTTGAATCTTGGTCCCAAACTGATGGATTAAGAGAATGAAAACCTGGAGTTAGTTCATACACTACCAGCCCCCCAAAAAATTGTCGGCTTTTCTCATATCTTTCTTCAGCCCCACTTTCATTTCCATCATCTCTCCCCTTCATTTTCAGAGGGCAATCCTAACATCTATTGATTGTTGTATTTCTCAGGATTCTCCACAAACACAGATAGATCCAATAGGATCATGACATTTACTTATGTATATGCATATAAAGTCTGAGGATTCTGCAGTCAGCAAGCTAGAGAACCAGGAGAGGCAATGGAATAGTTCTAGTTAGAATGGAATAAGTTCTGAAGGCCTGACAACCAGAAGAGCCCTATTAACCAAGAATTGAAGTATCAGAGTCCAAAGGCAAAAAAGACTGAAGTCCCACCTGAAGCAGTCCAGTAAAGTTCTCTTACTATCAGAAGAGTCAGCCTTTTTGTTCTATTTAGGCCAGGATACTTTATTCATTGTACCAATTCAATGTTAATGCCATCCCAAAATACCCTCACAGATACATCAAGATTAATATCCAGACACCCCATGGCCCAGTGAAGTTGACATATAAAATTAACTATCCCTAAATCCATAAAATTGAAAGGAACACTCTGAAATGATCTGGATATGCTACCCACCTGACCACAATGCTTGGAACAGAAGTGTTCCAGTAACATAGAGTTAGTGGGATTATGATAATAGTAGATAACATACATTGAGCACTTAGCAATATTCACAAATTTTACCTATCTTAACCACTGTAATAACCATATGAGACATATGTTCCTAAGAAAAAGAAGCTTTGACTCTTCAGCTGGACCAAGTATGTAGAGAAATGATGATTCGAACTGCCCTATCCATCTTGCTCATGAGGAAAGTCAGCCTGAGAACAGAAGCAACCCAGGGGAAGCTCTGGGCAGCATTCGACCTCAGAATCCAATTGCACATGAAGCCGGGCTCACCTGTGGATT